AATGACACCATCTTATGTTCCCCTCAAAACCATACAATTTTTGTTCAAAACGTTTTTCTTTAAAATGCTTAGTTTTTGAAAGAAAAGGGATGTACGGGTGGTCTAGGACACCCTGTATAATATATTACTAATAGACAAATTATCTGGCAAAGCAAATTTAAACGACGATTTGACGGCAGGTACAACCTCAGCATATTTTTTAGATTGGGACGCTCCTAAGGCATAGCGTTACGCGCGCGATCGGCGGTTCGGCCGTCGAGCCTCGAGCGGTAGTGGGGGGACCGTAGGCGTCGCTTCACATATCGGCCCAAAAGGGCAACTATCTCCGAGCACTGTTCTAGGGGAAAAATTTTTTTATAAACTTTTTAAAATTTTTTATTTTTTAGGAGAAAATTTTTTTATAGGCTGTTTTTTAGAGGTAAATAATTTTTTAAACTTTCTGTTGCGTATATTAATTTTCATAATTATCCAATTTTGCATTTTAATCTAAATAGATATAAAAAATTAGAATTGTATGATAAAAAATACTTTTTATTAACTTTAAAAGTTATTAATTTTTATTAATTTTTTTAAACTTGTGTTATATTTTAAAATTAACATAATTAATAGATTTAAAAATCAGCGGGAATAAACAAAAAATGGCGGACCAATCAAAACTGGCCTTTTCGTGGCCAGTTTCTGATTACATGCTGCGTTCCGATATCCACTGCCAGTACTGAAAATCTATAGTGTACGTAACGTAAACTATAGATTTTCAATACTGGCAGTGAATATCGGAACGCAGCCATAGTGTCTCTAGAGCTGGTCTATCCTATATTTATGCTCCTGCCTTCTGCCAATTCTTAATAAGACAAAAGTAATAGTGTAGGAAGTATTACTATGAAAAAAAAACGAATAAAAATCTAAAATTTATATGATTTTATGAATCTACTTATTTACGCAACAAATTATTCTTTTCCTTTCAATCAGTGTTAATATCCCAATAAATGGAATGGCAGAAATGATGGACGCCTTAACGTTAGGCTCACATAGGTAAGTAGTAAATAGTCCAGAGATCGACATGTATAAATTTCCATATATCTTATATAATGTGTGCGAGAATAAAATTTTACGACACGTTTCTTCTTTTTCAGATTGGTTCATCTTGATTTAAAAGGAGCACCACCACGGACTTGTTATTTTGAAAAGGTATACGTTACTCGTAAACGCTTAGCCTTATTTCATTGACATATTTTAGAACTTCGTGTATTTTGATCCAGAAAAAAATTTTTTATAACACGATAAATATGGAAAAATACACTATTTCATTATTGTCTTTTTTGTGTCATTTGATGATTGAGATGTTTAATTAATCGATTTTTTTCTTTTTATTATGGGTTGTTTTAAACTCACATTTGTTTACATTCAATAGTACATGCAAATAACTGTTGTCAGAGATTGTATCTTTAGATTTTAGTTGATATTTATAATTGTGTGTGACACACAAGAGCATGAAGACAAATGTATTTGTCTAAATAACATTTATAAAAGATAGTGATATTTTGAATTTTAAGTAATCAAAAAAATGAATATAATTTTATGAATCAGAAAGATTTAGAAACTGAAAATAAACTATTATTTATTATAACATTATAATAATAATAACAATATAATATTATTTTTTTTTAATTTTAAATGAACTGTAACGATTTTAATTCTAGTATAATTACTATGATATTTAACATGTTGACAGTCATCATCAATTATAACTTTCTTGTTTCTTTGTTTGCATTTATTTTTATTCTTATGATTCAATAGAATATTTACAGCTTTTTCCATTATTGCGAACATGGGGAGCTACTGGATTATTGCTGGAATGGGAGGATACATTTCCTTACAATCGAGAACTCTCTCCAATAGGAAGTAATGGGCCAAGCAGTTTAGCAAGTGGATATACAATTCAAGAAGCTGGACACATTCTGCAAATAGCAGGAGATTGTGGCTTGGCAGTTGTCCCATTGGTACAAACTTTTGGACATATGGAGGTATGCAAAAGATATCTCATTCATTTTGATTTATTTATTTTGTATAAAAACTAATTATTACATATAATTACTAAATTTTTTATATCTTTATTTTTGAAATTATAATTCAAGAAATATTGTGCTTCATAGATTTAATTCATCATTATCCATTTATTACAATTTTAATTGCAGTTTATCCTGAAACATGACGAATGGAGATCATTGCGTGAAGTAGAAACTTTTCCAAGTTCCATTTGTCCATCAAATCCAAGAACTCTACCATTGGTCAAATCATTAATACGTCAGATTGTTAGTTTTCATCCTGACATACAATATCTACATATAGGTTCTGATGAAGTATGGCACTTAGGCCTTTGTTCAGTCTGTACTAAACGAGCTGCAGCCAGTAAATATGGCAAATTTTCATTGTACTTGGAACATATTTTGGCAATAGCCCAATACATTCAGGAAACGTATCCATACTTAAAGATTATCATTTGGGATGACATGTTGAGATCAATAGACTTACAGGTTTTGAACGGTATCCCGATAGCTTATTCACGTTATATGTATATGATCATGCAAATTTTTTTGCTAATAAAACTAATCTTTTTTTTTTGCTTTGCAGAATATTACATTGGAAAATATGTAGAACCCATGATATGGCATTACAATCCCAGGGACAATTTTGTGTTGCCTAATGGTATCTTTTTACTCCGTCTTTTTTACCCCGTATATTATTTTCAGAAATTCGTCGATATATAAAAATATTTGCTGGATTATAATTATTGCATGGAATTATAATTATTGAATTATTTGCTAGGATTGTGGGATAAATACAGCGCAGCCTTTTCCAATATCTGGATAGCAACTGCATTCAAAGGAGCCACTGGTTCCACACAACATGTACCTGTAATTCGACATCATATAAGCAATCACGAAAAATGGCTAGAAGAATTGGGAATTCATGTGAGTAAGGTACATGAATTTCGAGGCACAGCATTTACCGGTTGGTCAAGGTAAGGAAAATCAGAATAATTATTACACTACCTTAAAATATAACAATGATTACAATTGTAATTTTAGATATGATCATTATGCTACGATGTGCGAGTTGTTACCCACAGCTATACCATCATTAGCTTTATGTCTAAAAGTTTGGCTCTATGGTTATTCAGAGGAGACACATGCACAAATTGCAAAGAGCTTAGGATACATTGATCATCCATTGCACATAATACCACAATCTAGACCAATCCCGATACCTAGTAATTTGCTTTTTCCTGGATGGCAGGTAGCTGTGGGTATGGAATGGTTTCTTAATTTCAAGACGAAATATCATAACATTATTAACAGTGATCAGTAAGTACATGCAAAAGCAGTTTATATTTATTATAATATAAATTCAAAAAAAATTTTTTTTTATTTTCTAAATTTATAGAATAATTTTTAGTTATTTATTTTGTATATATATGAAAGATATATATTTATTTGAGAAATTTATTCGAATACATATTGATTATTATTTAAATATAATATATAATAATGATTATTTTTAAATATAATAAAATACTTTTTTGAATATTTGAGATCTTAAAAAGCTGAGAATGTGTGCATTTGGATCTCAATTATATTCAAAAAGTAATTGTCCTCAATAGAATTATGACGTGGATGAATCCATGGCAGGTAGCAAATAATTACACAAATCCCATGCAGTTGGAGAATTTAATACCTACTTTTACAGAGTAAGTATTTTCACAGTAATCGGCTATATAAAAGTAGATTAGACTTTGCAAATTTCTTGGCACATTGTACCAAGAAATAGAATTTATACTTTTGTTTCAGATTATTATTAGAATTGTCTTCCCTGGAGGGCTATCTACGAGTTCAAATGGAAGCGATTTTCTTCTCGTCAATGATTGAAGAGTGGTTAGGCACCAATATTCAGCCGATAAAAGTAAAATTAACAGAACTGAAACAAACAACTGAAAATCAACTAAAAATAAGTAGTCGTGTATAATATTTTTTTTATTTGAAAAATCGGCAATCAATTTCAAATATATCACATCCGATATGAAATAAAACAATCACGAAAAGTTCCATTTAAAGAGACTATGAAATGCTAATTAATGATTAAATAATTAATTATTTTTCGGGTGTAGAGGAAAATTGTTTTTATTATTATGGTAAGTCATTGCTTATAAAATGTAAGATGATCTATTATTTTAAAACTTTAGCCTATTTTTTTTAATTATTAAAAAATAAATACAATATATAATTTTCTGAGAAAGAATTATTTTTTTAAATTGGGTACAAAATACTCGAGAATAAAAAAAAGAGAGAAATTGTCTTTTATCGATATATGAGATGATCTGTGATACTTGGCTATGAAAGGGTAACTATGTTTAAATACACAAGTGATATTTAATAATTAAGGGACAATCGATAATTATAATTTGTTATATTTATTTCAAATGTATAAAAATATAAATGTTTAATAAGCATATTTCTTTTAGTATAGATTAACTATTCGGATAGCTAAGTCTATCAAGATTATATTTTGCAAATTATGCGTTACATATTATGTCGGCAGAATTTCGGCAGCAGCCACACATGATCTGCCATCTCAGTTAGTGCCAGTAGAAATGCAGCAGAAAATATAAGCAATCTTTGCGTTATGATATGCTACAAAAAGTGCTACAAAATTTAAACAGAAGTTCTTCACATAAAAACAGTAGATTTTAAGTATTGCATGTTGATACAATACCCAGATAGCCAAGAATGTTAAAATCACGTTTTGCCAAAGCTTTGCAACAAGGTATGCTTTAATTTTGACAACAATTGTGTAGCAAACGTTTGTCTTGTTTCGGTTTGTCAAAAAGTTTGAAGCAAATTGACGGCAAAATTTTTCGTCTCACGATGCTGTAAATAATAGAAAAATTCTTGCCCGAAAATTTTACGCATAGAAGAACGTATGATGCTATTCACGGCGTAACACAAACTTTACGTCAATTAGTAGCAAATCTTGTTATACACGCTATAATAGCAAATTTACGACAAGAACAGAGCAAACCTTATTGTACACGATATGATAACACATTTACGGAAAGAACAGAGAAAAGTATACCCTGGCACAACGAGACGCAAAATTCACGCAAATAACAGAGCAAACCTTGCCATGCACGGCATGACAGCAAATTTACCACTTTACTTTATTACAAACTTTACAAAAATATAGTATTCTGCCGATAGTTCGTTTGTTCATCGCTATGCGATGCGCTATATGCATCCATTTCGTATTTGATTTTTAGTCATGAGAAGTATATAAAGCTTGCAAAGAGCAACTGGTAGAAGATTAAAAATATAGTTATTTCTATCAGTTCAATTACTGATACAATCCCAACATAGAGAATTCAGATATTGGATCTTGCCACAAATTTGCTGTCATCTCGTGCACAGCAAGATTTGTCCTGTTCTTGGCACAAATTTGCTGTCATGCCGTGCACGGCAAGGTTTGCTCTATTATTTGCGTAAAATATGCATCACACTATTACGACAAGCTTTGCTAGCAAAAGCTAAGCTTTTTGCGGACACACCTTGTCACAATTTTGCTGTAAAGACATGCTCGGGTTTGCTGCTAACTTTGCGCAAAGTTTGCATCATTTTGCTTGCTGGGAATATATCAACAGAAACTAAATAAAAATTGAATATAACATAACACATTATGCTATATCGGCAGAATATCATCAGAAATAGAGTTCATCTGGAAGCACAGCGTAACGGCGGAAATACTGCAAAAATGCCATCTCAAAAGATAACAGCAGAAACACAGTATGGTCTGTTGTCATAAAATAATGGCAGAATCATAGCAATATTAAGATATGTTATATCAAGTTATAGTTTTTTTGATTATTGCTATATGACGACGCGGCTAACAAGATTAAAAATGTGTAATGGCTCCTGCATACAGGACGCGGCGATGCGGCAAGCATTATCGCATCCTGTGTTCTGTGTGTAGGAGCCATAATACCTATTTTTATCAGCTTAATTTTTGAATTCTAACAAAGAACTCAGAATATTAAACTGAAAGTTTGAAAACCGAGTAGATCAATAAAAAATTGTCCATTTATTGACTGCTTGAAACAAAATAAGAGTTCAATTTTCATACAAATCTTGGTCAAGGTCATTGGGGCTGGGTCCCCTTTTCGCTATATTTACCTTTTCTATTTATTGACTGCTTGAAACAAAATAAGAGTTCAATTTCCATACAAATCTTGAAATTTACGAATTATTAATAAATTAATCATTTATTTAAATTTATATATTTAATTAATTATTTATAACTATGCCAATTATTTACATTATATATAATGTAAGTACGATGTAATATATGCTATACACTATATATTATATCTATGACGAAAATTTTTCGTCGTCACATCGTGACAGCAAGCTATGTTTGACCTTTGCTGCATTTCTGCCGTCAAGTTGTAATGGCAGGCCATGCTTGATTTCTGTCGCATTTCTGTCATGTAGCAGACTTCGCTCAATATTTGTTATATATCTGTTGTCACGACATAATAGCAAATAATATTCGATTTTTGCTCCATTTTCTCTGTTATATTATATCGGCAAGCCGTGCTACCAGAAATTAAACTTAATAAGGACGCAGCAGAGCGGAATCTGCTTCAAAGTCATGATTGAATTTGCTGGCATACTGCTAGCATTTTGCTATCTGGGTAGCAATCTAATAAGATTATAGTCACAGTAGAGATTTGAAATTATTTATATATACCCAGATAGCAAAATGTTAGCAGAATGTCGGCAGTGTGACAGCAGATCTAATCATGACTTTACAGCAGATTCCTATCCACCTATCCGCAATTGATGAGATTCTGTTAGCATAAGTTCATAGTGACAGTGTGAAAGCAAAAATGCAAAAAAATTAAACATGGCTTGCCATCATGCCACGTCGATAAAAATATAGCAAACATGTAATACGTCTTGCCATCACGATGCGATAGCAGAAATACAGCAAGAATAGGACATGCTTGTTATAACATACCGACGGCAGAAACATGAATACAATAACGAAGGAAACTTAAGGCTCCTGAGTAGTCGCCGCGGCCATATTGGAATGATGACGTCAGAAGCGAGAAATGACACGCTGAGAATTCTTGCGTGCCATTTTTAAATAAAAAGATATTTTAAAAAAGCAAGACTACAGATCGCTTTAGTATACTCGTAAAATTGTCCGAAAACTAAGCTTTTCCTTTGACAATTAATAAATAACCGTAAAATGAGTATCAAAGTAAGCTTAGTCATACGGGAAAACATGTAGTTTGACAGCTGTCGAAAGAAGTGGAAAATGTTTTTTTTACATAATACTTTTCTTGCTAAGCTTAGTTTTCAGACAATTTTATAAGTTTCACGAATACGTTACACATCACAGCACTAGCATAAAGCGAATAATTACGAAATGGCACGCAAGAATAATTTGGGCTGTCAAAACATCAGTTTTCACGCCTCACAGTTCATCGATTTGCAACGTGAGGCGCTGCATAAAAATTCTGATATGTGAGTAACATGCTGGTAACTTGTAGCTAACATGTAACATATATATAGTATATATCTTGTATATATCTTTTATATAGTGTAGTACTCTATTAGAAGAATACTTGAGCAAAGGAAGGGCGCAATGCTCAGCCATTTCCAAGAAAATTTGATTTAAATAATATGGCTTTTCTTATATCCAGCTCCGTTATATCGATTAGGGAGAAGGCGGCGTAGCTCGGGCATTAAGGCGGGTGGCTATCACGCATCAGACCCGGGTCCTTGGCACTTTCTTTTCTTATTTTTTTTTTATACAATCTAGCAACGAATATTTATTCATGTAAAATAAAGTTAATTTAACCAACTTTTTTTTTTAAATTTGCACTTACGAAAGGCAATTTCCTTTTAATTTACTCACGAAACTGGGCATAATTCTAATTAAACTTAAAATCTTATTATTTTATACATTCTACCCGATATAAAATAAAGCAAATAAAACGCCACTATTTGAACATAGTTATAATTTAATACAAAATTACAACAAATAATTACAAGTATCATCCGAATAGTTGTAACCGATCTGTAGAAAGTGTTGATGATAGTGATAACAAGGATGAATAAAAGTTTTGACACATTTGTTTGTAATTTTGTATTAAATAATAACTATGTTCAAATAGTGGCGTTTTATTTGCTTCGTTTTATATCGGGTAGATGTATAAAATAATAAGATTTTAAGTTGAATTAAAATTATGCCCAGTTTTGTGAGTAAATTAAAAGAAAATTGCCTTCCGAAAGGGCAAATTAAAAAAAAAGTTAGTTAAATTAATTTTATTTTACATGAATAAATATTTGTTGCTAGATTGTATAAAAAAAGAATGAGAAAAAGAGTGGCAGGGACAAGAATTGAACCCGGGTTGGATGCGTGATAGTCACGCGCTTAATGCCCGAGCTACACTTTTCGATAATTGATATAACGGAGCCAGATATAAGGAAAGCCATATTGTTTAAATCATTTTCTTGGAAATGGTTGAGCATTGCATCCTATCCCTTTGCTCAAATATTCTTCTAATAGAGTACTACACTATATAAAAGATATATAACAGATATATACTATATATATGTCATATGTTAGCTACAAGCATAGACATAGTATATCTAGACCATAGACATAGTATATCTAGACCGAGCGTTTGCCTTT